AATACTAATATTTCTAAAACTACGTGCAAAAAACAAATGAATATTTACTTATGGGACGGAAGGAGTATAATAATCAAAACAGAAAAAACATATACTCAATAAGAATAAAAAAATATTTTATTAGTAGAAAATAAGAATAACACAACCTATATTTTAATAAATACGTATACAATAATAATGAAATATTAGAACATTATACTCGAAATTAAATAAATTAGTAAATACATACATAATAAGAATAAAAAATATTTTATTAGTAGGAAATAAGAATAAAACAATAGATAATTTTAAAAATACATATACAATAATAATGAAGTAGTAGAATATTATTCTCAAAAACTAAATAAATTAGTAAATAAATATATAATAAGAATAAAAAGAATATATTAGTAGAAAATTAAAATTAATTTAATAATATTATTATACATAATAAAATAAAATAAAAAATAAAAAAAATATTATACCTGATTTTTTTTTCTCTTTCTATTTTTTTTTTCTTTTCATTCTCTTTTTTCTTTGAGATTTTTTTTTTGGCATCATGGATAAAAAAATTGATTACCAAAAATTTTGGTATAATTTAAAATTTATAAGTCAAAGAAAACAAATTTATTCTAAAATTTTCGCTGTATAAGGAAGGATAAAAAATTATATGCATAAATAATACTCCCTTCGTCCCATAACAAAGTATCTATTTTTTCATTTTAGTCCGTCCCATAATTAAATATCTATTTTTTTTTAGTAACTGTACTTACTATCTATCTAACATTACAAATACCCTTACAAGTTACAATATATTACACAAATACTAATAAGGTTATTTTAGTCATTTTTACTTTATTCCTACTATGTCTCAATATAATACTAATATTTCTAAAACTACAATGAATATTTACTTCTGGGACGGAGGGAGTATATAAAAGAGAAAATGATAGTTTTTTGTGGAAAATCATTCACTTTCTTTGAAAGATAACAAATTATATGCGTAAATAAAATACGAAAAAAAAAATAATCACGTGACAACCCTTCAAGGTTAAAAAATCACATGTTGTCCAAACCAAAAGTAAATAATGAAATAAAATATAAGAGTTTTTAAGAATACATATAAACATGTTCAATCATCGTTAACTCAACCAACAAAAATAACATATTTAAGAAAAAGAAAGATAAAAAAACAAACCTAAAAACTTTGTCATTCTGGTCGAACTACATGTATCCAACCAATAATCTCAACATTTGAAAATGCAACGAATTACGAACACTTCTTGAAAATTTCTGATTGATATGACGGTCAACGAAGCAGATGGCCATTTTTACGAACCTGCACAGTTGGACGAAAATCTCATAATAATTTTTGTTACGACGATTTTGGCTTAATATATTTGGTATGTATAGAAATACAAAACCCTAATTTTATACCTATCTTTGTCATTTATTATCTCAATAAATCTGAATTTTGTTAGAATTATGAGAGTGCACGAATTAAAATGCCTTGTACTATATATATATATAAATATATGATATATGATATGATATAGATATATATATATATGATATATGAAATAATAACTGGCTTTTGAATTTTGTCTATTAGATTTTTGAAATAAACTTAGATATAAATAAATATTTATCTAATATCTGAATGTAAAATAATTATTTATTATAATTTTAAAATAGAAAATATTTAGTTTAGTATCCTTTTGAAAAAAAAAAATATCTTATCAAAAAATAAATAAATCCAAATCATAAAATCATATTAGGCAGTAATCGGTTTTAAGTTTGGTATTCATATATATATTTCATATACTCACCCAATTACACATAACATACTCATTCTTGCTCTACCGCATCAAAAACCTAAATTTTTACTATCTTCTAAATTTTCAAAACCCTAAAGCTTCAAAAACCTCTGTTCCAAGAATCTTAACAATCTCATGGCGCAATTGGTAAATTATTTCGAGCAGGAATCCGTAGACATGGACGAATTAACAACCGCCGACACCGTTTATTGTCGTTCTACGGTGCCCTCGACGCAACTCACCGTTCGTTTTAATTTCACTTGCAGGTGCTTTGTCGAACTATGTATTATGATGGCTAACCAAGAATCGGACGCCGAGCCTGTGTACACGGGTCGGATTATCCGGCAGCGCATACCGCCGATTAGAATCTCGATCACCAGAGATAAAATTGAAATCTCCAACACTGGCAATCAACTCATCATCGAAGAATTTCAGCGAATCGCCAACACTGAGCTCATGCCGTGGCCTTTTAATACCGCGGGACGAACGTACGTGATTGAATCTGCAGTAGATTATTTAATTTCAGCCCTTAGATCAAGGCCTCTGAGTTCGAACGATGACTACGACATAATTTGGATACACTACCCTGTTTCGGTCTTTTTTGACCATTTTGTAGAAGAATGGCGCGAGGATATGGATTTGGCGCTTCTGCAGCCTGCCGAGGATATGGATTTGGTGCTTCTGCAGCATGTCGAGGATATGGATTTGGCGCTTCTGCAGTCTGCCCAGGAAGCGGAAGCACACATGGTTCCGGCTGCTGAGGATTTGATTGAGTCGTTGTTGACAGAAGCTGCGGTGGCGGATGATTCGGAAGAGACTTGCACTATATGCTTGGAAGTGATTCACGGAAAAGCGACGAGGATGCCGTGCTCGCATTTGTTCCACGGAGATTGCATAAAGAAGTGGCTGAGGACGAGCCACTATTGCCCTCTTTGTCGCTTCGAGTTACCCACGGAAAATTAAATGATCGAGAGGCCGTCTTTATTGTTGCTGATCTGATCGAGATTGTAGCTATTTACTGAAATGAAGTTTGCTGGTTAAAAACTGTGTTTAGTTGTTGTCCCAACTTTTATCGGCATTATGTTCCTTCTTTGTTTTAATGTTACATTACATCTGAAAAAATTACAAAGATATCTCCTAGCGAAAGTGTAATTATTATTTTTGTATTTTAATTTTTACTCTAGCAAAATATATCTTCAATTTTTGCTATTTCAATACATTGAAAGCTAGTGAATTTTATATCTTGCCAAATCCACGCGTTGCTACCATTTCCGAAGTATCTTTCTTCGAAAATTCCAAAACTATCCGAATTAGTCTCGGAAATTCTGAAACTACACAAATAGCTGCAAAAAATCAGTCTCAGAATTGTTTCCAAGACTATGTCTGAGGGTAATGGGAAATAGGTTTGAAAACCGTTCATTTTCCGAAGCAATTTTCCGAGGATAAACATACATATTTTGGCAGTGAATGTACAAAACATTTTTACCGAAATTGTGACATTTACTCTCTCAATCTTGGTCCAAAGGGGCTCTTTGGGGTTTTGTAGTAAATTAAAAAATAATAAGGAGTAGTATTTTATTAGGCAGTGGAAGTGTGTAAGGGGTTTTGACATTTTTGCCCTTAGACTTTACGTAAAAAAATAATTGTATATGTAATTTTATGTTTATAATTCAGGTAAAAGTTAAGGGTATTTTTGTATTAATGTATAATTACTTTTACTAAAATAGGAAAGTGATACTTTAGTTTGAGACGGACGAAAATGGTAAAAATGGTACTTTGAATTGGGGCAGATGGAGTATATGATATTTTTATCGATGAGGTGCAAGTCCCCGCGACTCAGTTAGAGCACAAGAGTGTACATATAATATATGTTTTGTAATTTTTCTTGAATTCACTCAAAATTCTTTATTTGTAAAGAATTGGCCTTGTGGAGTCATACCATTAATTTTCCTTTTGCAAAAAAATGGCATAGGGTGTATTTCAAAAAATCTGGCAACGTGTTGATCACCTTCATTCATCCAAATTGACGGACACAAATACAATAAATTTTTAATTCGAAAATAATGTAGAAGACAAAGGAAATGAATCGAAATTAAGAAGCAATCCGAAGAAACACAAAAGAAAAATAGACTAAATTATAGTTTAGCCTTACATCCGTCCCAAGGTATTAGAGTTTAACCACTAAGTTCAGGATGGATTGGTGTGGTTCCTCTACGCCTAGGACACCAGAATATCGAACCATGAACGAAGAAATGCATGGGAAAAGATGTATAATTAATATATAATTAAGAATGTATTAGTGAAAATAATTATTATATAATAGAAATAATTTTAAATTAAGATTAAAATAACTAATTAGTTTAATTAAAATTAAAAAAAAAAAAGGTTAAAATGATATTGAAGTGTATAATTTTTTTCTAAATAAGAAAAGTTACTGAATAAGTGGACAGACGAAAATAAAAAGATGGATAAGATAGAATGGAATGAAATGAGTATTTAAAATGTGATATTTTTGAGAGAAAATAATACTCCATATTTTTATTGGAGAGTGATTAAGTGTTGAAAAATATTATTTCACTACCAAGCTGAATAAGTAAAAACTAATTATGATCATTACTATAATTAAATTATCTAATTAATATATTTATGCTTTTAACCATTCAGCATGCTGAAAAAATAATTTCAGCACCATATCCATGCTGATTTTTATTTCTAATTTTTAATTTGAAATTGCAGAATATTACATAGATTGTTTCCTAATATCTTTTATAATTTGTTAAAATTTTGAATTGAAATTAGATATAAACAAATATTAATCTAATGTTTGAAAGTAAAATAATTTTTATTATAATTTTAAAAAATTGAGTATTTAATCTAATATATATATATATTTAAAAAAATAGCTGAATGAAAAAACAATCAAATCCAAATCATAAAATAAAATCAGGCTATAGTGTATTCACCCAATTACACATACTCATTCTCATTGTATGCATTCATTTGATTGTCGACTCTATTTATATAAACTCTTTTTACTTTTAAAAGTTCTGATTCTATCACATCAAATACCTACATTTCTACTATTTCCGAAATTTTCAAAAAATTCGTAACTTCAAATATCTTTATCTACCCGAAAATTGTTTCAAGAATCTTGACAATCTCACGGCGCAGTTGGTAAATTATTTCGAGCAGGAATCCGTAACCATGAACGAATTAACAACCGCCAACATCCTTTATGGTCGTTTTAGGATGCCCTCGACGCAACTCACCGTTCGTTTTGATTTCACTTGCATGTGCTTTATCCACCAATCGATTTTGATGGCTAACCAAGAATCGGACGCCGAGCCTGTGTACACGGATCGGATTATCCGGCACCGCATACAGACGATTGGAATAGAGATCGCTAGAGATAAAATTGAAATCTCCAACACCGGCAATGATCAACTCATCCAAGAAGTTGTGCGAATTGCCGACATGGAGCTGACCAGGCATTTGCCTATTAACGCCGAGGGACGAACGCGCCTGATCCAGCCTGCAGTGAATTATTTACTTTCAGCCCTTACATCGAGGCCTCTGAGTTCGAAGGATGACTACGACAAAATTTGGATATACTGTCATGTTAGGCTCAATTTTAACCATTCCGTGGAAGAAGGGTGCGAGGATTTGGATTTGGCGTTTCTGCGGCCTGCCGAGGATATGGATTTGGCGCTTCTGCAGTCTTCCCAGGAACCGGAGGCACACATGGTTCCGGCTGCCGAGGGTTCGATTGAGTCGTCATTGAATGAGGCTGGAGCGGCAGATGATTCGGAAGAGACTTGCACTATGTGCTTAGAAGTGATTCGCGGCAAAGCATGCTCGCATTTGTTCCACGGAAATTGCATAACGAAGTGGCTGAGGACGAGCCACTATTGCCCTCTTTGTCGCTTCGAGTTACCGACGGAAAATTGATGGAGAGATCGTGTTTATTGTTGCTGATCTGATCGACACTGTACCTATTTAATGAAATGAAGTTTGCTTATTTTAGTTGCTGTCCCATCCCAGCTTCCATTGTCATTGTGTTTTTTTTTTTTTTTTAATATTAAGGTACATCCGGCAAATATCTAGTAAATATAAATTTAATTATTAATGTTAAAGTATATTTAGAAATAATATATTATATTTATGTTAGTTATTTTATTTAAAATATTTATAGAATTCTTGCCTTATTTAGACGATTTGTATATATATTACTATAAATATCAGTTTTATATTCTAACATGGTCCTAGAACCAAATTCTCTTACATCTATGACCCGTTTTATCCCTCATATATATTTATATTTTATTGATGTATCTGCTTTTATTTACGATAATGTTGTTAGTTTCATGTCATCTCCATCTCTACTATTCCACAGACATAGTCTACTTTCGACTCTAACGCCGTTGAGAGTCCTGTTTTCGATTCTAACTCTATTGAGAGCGAGGGAGTCTTGTTTCCGACTCTAGCTCTATTGTGAGCGAGTGAGTCCTGTTTCCGACTCTAGCTCTATAGAGTGAGCGAGTCCTGTTTTCGACCGTTGTGAGTGAGCGAGTCCTATTTCCAATTCTAACGGAGTTCTGCTTCTGACTCTGATCCAGTGGACGACTACATTACTTTCAGTCAATCTTGGTGAATTCAAATTCGTACGTAGAAGATTTCGGCTATATCTTTTTCGGTCACTTCTGACAAACTCAAGTTTATTCGATCATATCTTGAGTTTGATGAGGGGTGTTAAAATATATTTAGAAACAATATATTATATTTACGGTAGTTATCTTATTTAAAAGATTCGTAAGATTCCTTTCTTATTCAGACGATTTGTATATCACTATAAATATGTACGTATTCTTATGATTGAAACAGAAAATTTCAATTTTATATTCTAACAATTACTTTTGTATTTTAATTCACTCTACACTATAAGAAAGTTGAAATTAAGCTAAAAAAAACATTTCGTAGCCAAATAAAATGAATTTATAGCAAAACCATTTTTGCGATGGAATATGGCTTTCGTCAAGAAAAATATATGTTTTGCAATGAAAGTTAAAAAAAGACGTAGCTACCAAAAATAAAATTCATAAGAAAAGAATTGTAGTAACAAAATATACATAATTTTTTTAGCTAAATAGTTTTAGCTTTGATCTTCGAATTTATCTTTCAACTCTTTTCTACTCCCATTTTACATGTGTTTATGAGATATTTATTTGATATTATGGAGCCTTGGATTTTATTTGAACAATACTTCGTATACAAAATTATACAAATGAATTAGTAGAAACAAATTCAAATAAAACCAAATTAATATAACCGAAAAAATTAGAACTTAAACACTAGATTAAGATTAGACAAAAGGCACAACAGACAATTTCTGGATATTATGATAAAAAAAAAAAAAAAAACCAAACAAACGCCCTTAACAGGCCGATCTGACGAAGATCAGCGACGGACAGCGACTTCCGAGCTACAATGCTCCAGTCGGCATCTCCGGCAGAAGATCAGAAGATCGACAACAATGGCGGGTGACTCCTAAAGGAGACGGGAAGCAGCTTCGGTCGATTGATTTAGAGTTTCAATTGCAGGTCTATTGACCATCACTCCCTCCCGCCACAGATGACCCTATTTCCTTTTCGGTATGTCCACAAAAGATGACAATTTTCCTTTTTTTTTTTTTTTTTTTTTTTTTTTTCTTGGTATGTCCAACCAAAGATGACCCTTTTCTATTTAAAAAAAATGGTCAATAGACCTGTAAAAATCAATTCAATTCAATTAAAAAAATGTTCAATAAATTCAATTAAAAAAAAAATCAATTGAAACTCTAACTACCTGTAAAAATAGTCAATAGACCTGCAAGTCTGCAATTTTTCAATTGCACAGTTTAACTTGAAGAATGGCCGTTGAATGTGGTTATGATGGCCGTGTGGGGAAAAAATTGCAGATAAAGAAAATATTTGTGGGATTTGAGAGTGGAATGGAAAAAATTGCAGAGAAAGAAAAATATAGGTGGGATTTGAGAGTGCAAGTGGAATGGAAAAAATTGCAGAAAAAAAAATTGTCAGTATAATTAGATATATAAAAAATTTAATATTTAACGGTCAATTAAAGATAAATCAGTGGGAATGGAATGGTCGCTCGCCATTAAAATGTCTGATATATATATATATATATTACCCTATTATATATATATAAATCTAAAAATTTAGAATTTGGGGCGCAACTTGGGCGGTCGCCCTCATGGCCCAGCTCCCGGGACGGGCCTGACTACACCACGAGGCTATCCTTAGGGGACTGAATTTTTTTTTTTTATTATTATTGATTGATTATAAAAGTACGACCATATACTATTATTTATTAAATTTAAATTATTTGATTTTTTGGGACCAAGTATAAAAGATATTTTCAACAAACAATCTATTTAATCTTTATTTTATTTTATTTTATTTTATTTTTTCAAATTTTATGTATGAAAAGAAACATGTTAATCCTAAAATGTTATTAAAAAATTGTTATCTCTAATAATTTCAAACTCAAATAAACATTATTCAGATTTCAATACAATAAAATTGAGAGGTCGTGTCTTAATTAAAAATGATTTATTTAATTTATATTTGATTTATTATTTCATATATGATTTAAAAAAAAAATTCTATTTAATTGTTTAGAAAATTATATTTTAATAAAAAATATATAATATGAATAGTATTTTATAAATAATAATATTTTCAATAATACATATAAATAAAAAAAAAAAAACATAAATCTTTATTTATGATTAATGTAAATTAATTTTATAAAAAAAATTATAAAATTTGAATATATATAAATATATTTATTTATTGAAAAAAGATATAAAAATTTTTGAGTAAATTCAAGGATGAAAAAATTTATATAAAATATATTAGAAGTAAACTCTAGTCTTCTCATGGTCATTCTAGCAACTAAACACAGTTTTAACAAGGAAGCTTCATTTCATGAATAGCTACAATGTCGATCAGATCAGCAACAATAAACACGACCTCTCGATCAATTTTCCGTCGGTAACTCGAAGCGACAAAGAGGGCAATAGTGGCTCGTCCTCAGCCACTTCGTTATGCAATCTCCGTGGAACAAATGCAAGCACGGCATCCTCGTGGCTTTGCCGCGCATCACTTCCAAGCATATAGTGCAAGTCTCTTCCGAATCATCGGCCACTGCAGCCTCATTCAATGATGACTCAATCGAATCCTCGGCAGCCGGAATCATGTGTGCCTCCGCTTCCTGGGCAGACTGCAGAAGCACCAAATCCGTATCCTCGTCAGGCTGCAGAAGCGCCAAATCCATATCGTCGTGCCCTTCTTCTACAAAATGGTTAAGAAAGACTGAAACAGGGCAGTGTATCCAAATTATGTCGTAGTCATCGTTCGAACTCAGAGGCCTTGATCTAAGGGCTGAAATTAAATAATCCACTGCAGATTCGATCACGTACGTTCTTCCCGCAGTATTAATAGGCCAGTGCATGAGCTCAGTGTTGGCGATTCGCTGAAATTCTTCGATGATGAGTTGATTGCCAGTGTTGGAGATTTCAATTTTATCTCTGGTGATCGAGATTCCAATCGGCGGTATGCGCTGCCGGATAATCCGACCCGTGTACACAGGCTCGGCGTCCGATTCTTGGTTAGCCATCAAAATCGATTGTTCGATAAAGCACCTGCAAGTGAATGCAAAACGAACGTTGAGTTGCGTCGAGCCCATCGTAAGATAACTATAAATGGTGTCGGCGGTTTGGTCCATGATTACGGATTCCTGCTCCAAATAATTTACCAATTGCGCCATGAGATTGTCAATATTCTTAGAACAGAGGTTTTGGAAATGGGATTTTGAAAAATTTGAAAATTGTAAAAATTTAGGTATTCGATGGCATGGAATGAAAATGAATATGCGTAATTGGGTGATTATATGTATATATAGAAGAATAAATTGGAGGGAATATGGAAATTAAAACAAGACCACAGCCTGATATGATTTTATGATTTGGATTTGTTTTTTTTTTTTTTTTTTTTTTTTTTTTTTTTATAGTCAGATTTTTTTTAAGGGAAAAATACTATTATTTTTTCAAAAATTTTATTGTTTAAATATTTGCGTGGTTTTTTATTGGTTGTAAAAGTGAGACAGACCATATACTTATTAAATTTAAAATTCTATTTTTATTTAATTAATAATTTATTGTATTTGTGTCCGTCAATTTGGATGAATGAAGGTGATCAACACGTTGCCGGATTTTTTGAAATACACCCTATGCCATTTTTTTGCAAAAGGAAAATTAATGGTATGACTCCACAAGGCCAATTCTTTACAAATAAAGAATTTTGAGTGAATTCAAGAAAAATTACAAAACATATATTATATGTACACTCTTGTGCTCTAACTGAGTCGCGGGGACTTGCACCTCATCGATAAAAATATCATATACTCCATCTGCCCCAATTCAAAGTACCATTTTTACCATTTTCGTCCGTCTCAAACTAAAGTATCACTTTCCTATTTTAGTAAAAGTAATTATACATTAATACAAAAATACCCTTAACTTTTACCTGAATTATAAACATAAAATTACATATACAATTATTTTTTTACGTAAAGTCTAAGGGCAAAAATGTCAAAACCCCTTACACACTTCCACTGCCTAATAAAATACTACTCCTTATTATTTTTTAATTTACTACAAAACCCCAAAGAGCCCCTTTGGACCAAGATTGAGAGAGTAAATGTCACAATTTCGGTAAAAATGTTTTGTACATTCACTGCCAAAATATGTATGTTTATCCTCGGAAAATTGCTTCGGAAAATGAACGGTTTTCAAACCTATTTCCCATTACCCTCAGACATAGTCTTGGAAACAATTCTGAGACTGATTTTTTGCAGCTATTTGTGTAGTTTCAGAATTTCCGAGACTA